CAGCCCTGCCTGTGTATATACATATCTATCTATATCTATATCTATATCTATATCTATATCTATATCTATATCTATATCTATATCTATATCTATATCTATATCTATATCTATATCTATAATCTGTATCTATTTCTCTTTTTAAAAGAAATGTCTGTCTGTCTGTCTGTCTGTATCCCAAAGCCTTGTGACTATCTTATTTTTGTTTCCTTTTGACCCTCAGGACTAGCTCCCGGGCAGCTGTATACATACCCTGCTCGGTGCTGGCGTAAGAAGAGACGTTTGCATCCCCCTGAAGACTCCAGGCTGAAGTTGCTGGAAATTAAACCAGGTAAGTGTTCTTCCCAACCATTTCCTTTCCTTTCCTTTCCTTCCTCATGCTTGCAAGTTCTATCTACTCATCCTTGAATTGGCAGAAAACTATACTAGCATGAAATGGGCCGTCCCCTTACTGATCTCTATTCTGCTTCTATTGCCTCTCTTTTAAGTCCCTTCAGTCACCTGACTTTCCTCCAGGGTTAGAAGGTGACAATACCCTTGGATCAGGTGGAATAAAGAGGAAAATACTAATTTAACATTGGTTCAGTTAAGGATGATTTAAGACTCTCTCGCTCATGGACTGAGGATGAATTGAAGGGAACATCACAGGGACAAGGCAGAAAAAAACTGTTGCCAGGACCCTCCCTGTGCCATGAAAAAAGTGCAAGAAAAGAAAGGCCTTAAGTGTTTGCTACTGATGGGCCAAGAAGACTCTGCAATGCAAGCCTCAGTGTGTTTGTGTTTCTCTTCTAGCTTCTTCTGTTTTTTGTTGCACTGACAATATGCAACAGAAATTAAAAAGTCCATTCCAAATTCAGGAGTGGATGTGGAAACTACAGTAGATATGTTAGTGCTTAGGGTTCTTCTGCATTTTAAAGGCCTGAAGTTTGGAATGGAAGTAAATCTCTTGGGTATTACACAAGACATTACTGTGGTAGGCTCAATAACTCCCTCTAAGGGCACTGCTGCTTGGTGCTCTTTTCACTCCACAATCCTCCAAATCATTTTCAAGTTAGGCATGCAGTTGCTTTCACTGCCACAAACCTCAGAACGCAGAGAACAGGAGGGGAACAGCACAAACCAATTAGTGCTCTCGCTCCTGCTGATCAGGAGCAGAATGCAAGAAAATCATTCATTCATTATTTTTTCCCAAGAGGTAACTGTGAAGCTTCCAGGCTTCCTTTCCTCTGTTACATTCAAAAGCCTTTTGCTAGCCTTTTGCAATTTTGCAATCCAGCGCTTTCCCCAGTAGCTTAAACCATGGATGCATGTTGCTAGAGTGGCTGAAGTGGAGGAAATGGGGAGGTACATTCTAAGCCAAGAGATACGATGAGCAGGATGCTGAAGGTTGCCTGTGGGAACTGGGGAAGAGAGCAACTGCAGCAACAAAAATCCCTTCATCCCCACTCCACACAAAAGGAAAAGTCCTCCCGCATGAGACGGTTGCTTGAAAAGACGCCAAACAGCAGTCTGATGTTTTGCAGTGGGCTGGTCTCCTGCCAAGGAGAAGGGAAAAGGAGACAGCACTCTTGTCAGTTTCAGCACCTGCCACTTGGGCTACTGTGCGGGCAGAAACACTTACAAAGATCCGTGAAGAGTCAAAACAGTTGAGATCAATTCTGGCTGCTGTTTAAAGTGGGATCAGCAGAGTGGTTTGCATTTGCTAATCTGAAGAATTGCTATGAAATGGAACCTGTGAAGCTGTCAAACCATCTTTCCCTTTGAAGGGCCCAGAACTAGAATGCTATGTCAGATGAAGCCAGGAGACAAGATGTACGATGAGGCAAGAGACCGCCCACAAGTTCTGCAGAGCTTTACTGTTGCTTGCAGAAAGATAACTTGTTTTTGCTATTTCATTTGGCTGTGATAGAAATTGATCAGCTCAGCTGCTAAAATGGTGTGAGAATACACATCTCTGGAACTGATTTTGGAGGGATAGAAAGATCCCATGTGGAAGTGCCCTGAAGTTCCATTTATCTATTACCATAGTAGCATGATTGGGTACTGCATTTGCAAATGAGTATGTGGGAAATGGGTTGTGTGAAGTGACTTCCCACATTGTTCAGCGGTCAATTTTAAGCAGTTCCAACAGCTAGAGGAAACCTATTTCCACAAGGAGGCTTTGTATTATAGAGTTTATGAGGTCCTTCACTAAGATACATGAAGATGTGTATGAAAATTAACAGAAAATTATGTTTCTATTACATGTACAGCTTGGATCAAAAACATGAAGAATCCTAGTATCATAGAACTAGCACAGTTCTTTAAAGATGGGAAGCTATGATGATGTACTTTTGATTGACTCCTTGTTTTTAATTAATTTGCAAGTCTAATAATTCACATTTATTTTCTTTATTTTCAAATATTAGTTGTTGACTATCATTCATCGACTTCTGTTTTATACTGTGGAGCTCTGATGGCATAAACCTGAATTGCTGAAGGAGAATCAGAACTAGGGAGAGCTAATGATCATGTACTCATGTACAAGTAACGTATAAGAGAAAATGAGGAGCTGCTTATCTATTTCTCTCCATGGTTCTGAGGCCTTCATGTGTCATTGTTGGAATTTGAACTGCCTGTGACTTGGCTTATCCTTGAAAGATAGCAGGTGGCCTTCAGCAGAGAGGGAGTCTAATTTGAAGCACCAACATATTTTTGTGTGGTTTCTAACTGCTTAACTGAAACACTTCTATACCATGTTATTGCTCTCAACTACTTTCAAACCACAGCTAGCATTTGGAACCACAACACCATATGATGGGGACAGGATAGACAACGGACTCTTCTTAATTCTTTCATTTGCCAGTTAGGTTAGCATTAATGCATGTAAAGATCACTTCTGTTGTCTGCCTCCACACAGTTCTCTGTTTGCATTCCAATGTTTAGCTCAGCTTCTGTTATCACGTCTGTTTTTGGGAGCAAAAGGTCTTTTTGATGGCTTGTTGACTTAGGAGGAGTCTTCGAAAGCAGAAAGGGCTGCTAAGGTTTTTGTTATCATTGAGACAGCTTGTAAAACACAACTACTCCATGCTAATAACCTTGCCCATTTTATCAGGCATTGGTAGGTATGTGTACATTAGTGGGTGAATGGGTGTAAAAGGTCCTATGGGATTTCAATTGGCCTTGTAAAGATTTAGGGCAAATACTAGCATATGGGAGACTTCTTGCTTCTGTTATACTCCTTTATTTCTACTAGATATTATTTGTAAGCCTATGAAGGTCTACCAAATCTTCAGGTACATTTTCTAATGAATCCAATGAAGAGATTTCTCTGGGCTTTTACACTTTTACCTACCTTCTAAAAAGCAAGCCAAAAGAAATTTACTGATGTAAGATTCTCATCTGGAAGAATGGGGTAGAAATTGAGCATCTGGCCTTGGTTCATAGCAGCAGATACATAGCAGGCAATCCATTTTAGTCTGTGTGTAGCGGAAATCTTAGATAGAGATGAAGGTATATGCAGGGTTAGCATAAGTGCCCTTTTCGAGTTCAGACCAAATGACGCCATTGTGTCCTAGAAAATCTTATAGAGGTAATGGATGTTCCATGATTGCTTTTGATATTTGGATGTTTCTGTTTCTTGGTTTTCTTTTTTGAATGCAACTATCTCCCCTAGTAACTGCCCAGCCACTTCAATTCAGCAGCGTTGGAGTGCTCTGGGTTGTTCCAATTAGACAATGCCACTTATTGTGGCCTCTCTGGAATGGGGTTTTCCCCAAGATCCGGGGGCTCCTACCCTACTAGTGTTTCAGAGGACCTTGAAAACCTGGCTTTCTGCTAAGGCCTTTGGCAATTTGTTTTTGTGAACCATCCAGAATCATTGGGAGTCGGGTGGCGTTCAAATGGAATAAGATAAATAAATAATAAAATGGATAGCAAATCTCACAGAGAAAAAAGTAAGGAATGAGGAGCTTAAACTGATTCAGGTATAATGGTGAGGAGCTCTCTCTAGAATTGCTGAGACAAAGAAAAATCAAAATAGTGTATATTGAGCCCCCATTGTTTAAAATATAGAATTCAGCTCTTACACAGATTTTATAGCTATCCTGGAGTTGAATACAAATGACTGTTCATAATTCTCTAGCAACTTTTGGGATAAAAAAAATCTAAAAAAAAAATCTAAAATTGTCTATAGCTTTGCTTATATTAAACAAAAAATGATGTAGTTGCTATTGTAGTTTCTCATTACTTCTGTTTTCTGCCTAGGAATCTAGTTGTTCTGGAATCAATGGGATATGAAAGTAAAACTAATGGCAACTGACAAGTTAAAAAAAGCCCTACAACTGTCTAATATTGACTTTCTCAGTCTTCTACCATTTGAAATTTCTATTCTTTAAAAAACTCTTGCTTTACAGAATTCACTGTTTTTTTAAAGAGTTTTCAAGAAAGCTATAATTTGATTTTTCTTTTAACAAATAGCAACACAACTTAGATCTCTCTTTTGTCAATATGTAATTCATAAAGACTTCATTTCTTTGAATCAATATAGAAAAACTACTATTTCAGGACCAGCAGAGGGAGTAATATTACAGGACTACTTGTACAAAGGGTTTGATTCTGTTTCCATTTCAAATGCTACCTGTTTAAATCAAGCGATTCATGGAATGAACATAATATTGTAAATTTAACCTTTTAGCCACTGTGAAAACAAAAAGCAATTCCAGTTTTGAAAGTTTTGATTAGGGTCTGACTACCTAGCTGAATAAATCTACATGGAAAAGGAATATGCCTATTCTGCTCCCTCATTAGCAGCTGTTAAAAAATCTGCAACTTCTGAATTTTCATCTACTAGTGTGTTTGTATGAATCCAGTGCGGCTTTTTGTGCCAGAAAGGTAGTACATGGGGATATACTACTGATTACTCTCAGGCTGCATTCTTGTTTTTGGGCTTTCTAAATAAATATGCATGGGGCTGGGACTTTTAGGGAGTTTTTCTGCTGATCTTCAAGCAAATGTCTATAGGCCAATGATTTACAGAGATGTGATTCTGCCTGTTCTGAATCTGGCCTGCCTACTTTAACCTTGGCCAAATCCATTATTAGATTGTAGCCTTTAAAATCATTCCAAAATTGGCATTCAACATTAAGGCTGAAGATGTCCTAGGCAGTATAGAGAATAAAATAGGATAGTTAGTGTCCTCCAGAGGCATTTGACGACAAGTTCCATCATCCCCACCAACATAGCCTATTAGTATAGTCTGGAAGAAGGGATAGCTCCTGGTTCTTTTGCAGCCTGTCATGATATCCATGCATTGCTTTCTTTTTTTAAAGGCAATGGGGCTTTTCCTTACCC